AGGTGCCCTGTCTTTCCACCCTGATCTTATATTTCTCCTTAACCTCTGGCTGTGCTGTGCTCATTTTTCTTTTAACATGGAGACTTTTTGATGTAGGTTCCCCTAACCTTAACTTTTCTCCTGTCATATTCATCTATTTAAAATTCTACCTGTTCTTCAAAGTTCAGCACAATCTAATCTCCTTAGATCATTCTTTGAGGACAGTAGCCCACAATTCCTATAGAGCCAACAATAGAACGTCTGCCTAGGCATCTCGTTGATTCATCTAACATAGAATCATGCACTATTTTTGTAGTAGCAAATTATGTACCTTAGTTCCCTTCTGTCCAATAGACTGTAGATACCTTGAGGATGGAAGTCTTATGCATTTCCCACTTTATCCTCTAGAGGCCCTAGCGGAACTCTGAAGACATAGTGAGCATTTTCTGAATTTAATTTGTTGCCTCTTTTTCTTGACACTTGCTGTAGGTTAATGTCTTCTTTCCCTATTGAAGTATACACATCCTAACAGCAAAAACTATAGCTAAAGCTTCTGTGTTCCATGTATAGCAGGCGATCAATCAGGATTTCTTGAGGGAAGGAGAATATCATGTCTCTGAAGAATGATGTGACTGAACAGTTTAAACAACTGTTTCCTCTTAAGGATGATGCTACGGAACAAATGAGCAGTATAGCATCTGATATCTAATCTGACAAGTCAGTTCTTCAGATGCCAGTGGCCATGTTGGATTGTTTCTATTCAGAGAGTAACAATGGCATAGGGATGGATTTCTTTTTTTTCCATCATTTAATCTGTAGCATCTTATGCAGTACCTGGCATGTAGTAGGCCATTAGTAAACATTTATTGAGTTGAAATTGAATAAATTCAACAGGTAATTCAACTATTTATTGAAATTGTACCACTTACCTCATTATGTCATTTAATCCCTGTGACAACAATTTCAGGAAGGTAATTATTCATCATTTTCCAGGTGATGAAACCAAAGCCCAGAGATATAAAAAGCACTGTCCAACTTAACAGCTAGAAAAGAACAGAGTAAGGAATGCAAAGTTCGCTTTGGCTGGGCTGTCCAAACCCAAATCCCACGTCCTTATGACATCACCACTGCCTCACCTTCATGAATTTTATTTTGTTGCATGGGCCTCAGCTGAATTAACATATCTCCTAGTCTATAGGGAAATCTCATCCTGGGCCCAAGTCTACCTAAACTTTCAAGTAATAGCTCTTGAAAAAGCTTGTTGTATATTCATTGAAAAACTTAAGGCTGCTTGGGAAGAGACTTTTGACATTAAAAAGGCAAGTAGGCAAAGACCTATGACCTTAGTTTCAATGGTAAATATTGCTTTTCACAATTGTTATTCTTTTATTTTATTACCATAATTTTACCCTTTTAAGGCCATTTTCCTTGATCTGAATTCTGGTTATTTATTTGCCCATCTTACTTCACCATAAAAATGACTACTGGAACAAAAAGTTGCTCCTCACCCTTCACCTTCCGCCTCAATCCCAGATAGTAAGGAGAACACTAATCTTATTTCTAAAATTATCTGTTTATATTAAAGGGAAAAAAAATACACTCTGAAATTATATAGGGATTTGTGGATTGGCTTTAGAACTGGAAGGAAACTTACACATTGGTGAAGCTGAGTGACTTGATCAAGGTTAGTGTCAGCTAACCTCTTATTTAAAGTATAAACCTAAAATGGACCCCAGAGATCATCTAGTTCAACCCCTTCATTTTTCAGAAAAGTTAACAGGTGCACACAATCCCAATACCTTTCAAGGTAAATATAATGTCATCCCACAATGACCCTGCTTCTAGTTGCAGAAATGACTGATGTTTTGTGTGCCTTTGTGTTAACTTAAGGTAGATTCTTAAATATACCCTCAACCCATAACTATAGTGGGCAGAATTGAATGTTCAGTAGCTTTTTGGAAAGCTCACCATGGAAACAAAGGTTTGGATTCTCAGATTGGATTTTGCCGTTCTTCCTCTAGAGCAGATAAATTGAGGCTCCTGCAGGCATGGGTCCTGTCAGATGAGACTTTAAATTTCAAAGTGAAAGATTCTTCTCGGCAGGATATTAAAGAGTGTTGTGGTGCACTATTAGTAAGGAATGCAGCCTGTCCCAATTCTCTTGGCCGACCCTTTGAAAACCATGACTGAGGGAAAAATCTTGTTCTGGCCTCCTGGATTCTTAGATGCTCTAAAGAAATGTAATTGCTTTTTATAGCTAATAGACACTTAAAATTGTTTCCAAAGAAAGTATGTCTAACTGCTGATTTTCAATATGGCATAATGAAGATGTGAAAAAGTCAAAATACACCTTTTTGAACATATTAAAAAATGTTTTTATGCCCAAACTGCAAGAGCCTTAGAAAGCCAGTTCCAGCCATGGGAGGTAATTTTTGTTGTATAGATTGAGGACCTAGTTCTGTAACTTAGAAAATGAAACAGTTGTTAGGTGGTCAGCTAGAAGGATGGAAGTTGAGAGTCGGTTTATTCCACCCTTATTTCCAAGCTGACACAACATGTTCTAAGTAGATGGTGTTTGGTTTCGTTACCTTAACAGCATCTCCCTGTGCTCTTCAATGCATCGCTCCAGTGCTTAGTAATTTAGTAACAGGTTGGAAATGGCCTAGGGGGTAAAATGAGACTCTATCACCATAGGGGCAACTACCTGCCTCTTATTTTTGAATTAGCATGGTAGCAGAAGGTGACACTTTGCCCCAGGATTCAGGGGAAAAATAAAGTTAGATTCTACCATACATATAGACTTGTTGGATGGACAAGTCCTCCAGAATCTGCTCTTAAAGCACCAGCTGATCAGAGATTGATGTGTTCTAATCAACTGAACGTGAGGCGTGATCATTTTACTTTTGTATAAAAGAAAAATATGAACGTTTTCATAACAAATGTTACCTGTTCATACTTTGTGCTCTTGTAAAACTTGGCTTATTTGAGATGCAGAGGAGCTGGTTTTCTAATCTTTTGAGGCATGCCATTAATTATTATTATTAACCAAAGGGACTGAATGAAATCCTAGGCATAAAAGTGATCAACTCCAGATTTAATATTGGGGGTATGACTTAACTTTTATTCCATTTTGCCTGCTTTATGTTAGTCTTAAAGCACATCAATGATTATGACTTACCAAATCATTTGAAGAAAGGGGTTTTCTATAAATATCTGGAACAGCTATCAGATGAGATAGTATAAATACCATTTTTATATATTTATAAAAAAAAAAAACCTTTGGTATATCTTCACAGTTACAATTTTCAAATATCCTTGACTATAAAAATGATGCGGTTCAGCCAATAAAATTCGCATGGAACACTAGACTAATCACGGCAGTCTTTTTGGCCAATAGTACAATCAGAATAATCCCTGAAACGTTTAGATCTTAGAAGTTTAGGTATTACTTGCTTTCGTGATTGTGTCTTTGCTTTTGAGTATCTGCATCTTGCAGCTAAAAAACTAAGCTCTGGTTAAGATCTACACTGAATGAAGAATAGTTGGAAACTTCACAGGGCAAGTTGCTATTTAACTGCCCCCCTCCATGCTGATGATTTGCTGGAATTTGTTGCTTCTTGGGTACAATATTTTTAAATAGAAGTATTTCAAAGATTTTCAAGGGTTCATGCACACTGGAATGCTCGAAGGCACAGTAACTTTTAAGGTTTGGGAAAGGTACAGCATTTAGCTGCAATTCATGAAATGATAACAAATACAATGGATTTTATTTCCTGGGACACTAATTGACTTGGGTGGGGAAAGTAAGGGATGATAAGCTATGTGGTTAGAGATACATTCAAAAATTAGAGATTCATTTACATGAATAAGTCTTTCTTTTGGATTCAAATGTTTTCTGAAGGTGCTAGTCAGTTATACTTTAGCGTAAATTTCTTTAGTTCAATAAGATTGAGTATTTTGGAGAGAAAAGGAGTGGGGGGGTGTTGATGTCATAAAATTTAGATAAGGGAACTGAATAGACAAGAATAATAATGGTGGGAACTGAGCCACGAGGCATGGGACTTCTGCCCCTTCCCCAGAGCCTTTTATCCCTGGACCATGTCCAACTAATCTTTCCCTTTATTAAGAGAATTTTTAGATTTTCCTATCCTTAGAGAGCTCTACAAACTCTTCCTTGCAATGCAAGTATGCCAGAGAATTGGGAGTTCACTCCTAGGTATAAAATATTCTTCTTAGGAAATAAAGTACAAAACAATTAACCTCACCTCCTCCCAACCTCCACCTCCACTGCCTTTATTTTTAAAGGGCTGTAATAAGAGTGAACTGTAAGGCATGGCAATAGAAGTCCACCTGGAAGGTAATTCATGAACTTTCTAGTTGTTTCTACTTATTTAGAATCAGTTAATCGTACAGTCTTTTTGCACGTGAGTTTGTGGACCCTTGTGCATGTGGCTGGTTCACTCAACCTTTTGTTGAAGACGTTCAAGAAGAAGCTGATTGGTCACTTGCTGAAGATGCTTGTGAAAGGATTTATTTATGCAGGCCGAACACAGTGGCTCACAACTGTAATCCCTGCACTTTGGGAGGCCAAGGCAGGCAGATCACGAGGT